TAAAGAGCAATTATAATCTAAAGGGTATCAAAATATCAAAATTTGAAAAAAAAAAAAAAAAAAAAAAAAAAGCTTAATACTTATTTGTTTACTTTATTAAACATTTCTTTCAATGTAAGTTGTTTAAGTTGCTTCGTTTTTTGTGCCTAAACGAGCATGCGTAAAAAAAAAGTTTGTGGCTTTGAGGTCCAGATTATAGAAAGATCATTCCGGATAATGGATGTTCGGATTACAGACTTTGTACTATAGTACTTTTTTTAATTTGATGCATTATAAAACATTGCTGCTCACAGTAACTTATCATATCAAACATGCATTAATCTATGCTAGGCATGCCCAACCTGCATGCGACCCATTTGAAGACTTTTAGTGGCCCGGACTATGGACATTAAATAAAAAAAATCGTGTTTTGACTCACCCCCACCTCTTCTCGTACAATTTTTTCCAAAATAATTTTTCCCCATTCATTTCAATTCCAAGCAATAAGAAAAGAAACATTTGGCCATCGGGCAGGAAAAAAAAAAAATTTTGTTTGGTCAAACAGTTTAATAATTACACTGTTGTTCTTCTTTGCTTACAATGCTGTTCTTTGCTTAATTGCCTTTTTGCATTTGAAATAAAAATTTTGGAAACCTAAATCTAAATCAGTTTTATAGAGACATTCTGTAAGTATAAAATGTGAAGATGTTACGCAGATAGTTGTTATACTACGTAACGTCAGATGGCAGCACAAATAAGAACCTTGTAGTTTAGGAGATATTCTTCCGCCAACAACTGCAATCCATTTGACTTTCAACTTTGTTGTGATTGTAATCTGTGATTGTGATCCAGGTAAAAGGTAAACTTACGAGTTTTTTTAATCATATCAATAATTATCATATTTATTTCTATTAGATATTTATTCATATCATATTTCTTTCTATTAGATAGTTATTCATAGCTATTTTTCAAGGCTGAAAGAAAAATCCAAAAGAAAAGAAAATTTGAAGATGAAAATAGACAGTTTCAGAGTGAATGGGAAAATTTATACTTTTTTATTCATGTAAAAGATAATGCTGTAAGTTTGATTTGCCATTATTTAATTTCAAAATCAAACAACCTAAAAAGATACTATAAACAAAAACATGGAGAAATTGATAAACTTACTGTTGGTGAATAGAAAGCTAAGTTACAATCTTTGAAGAACAATCTGACATCAACAATACATATTTCATAAGCAAACTGCCCAATCAAATGGTACTGCCAGTGCTAGCTTTAGAGTATTCCCCATTATTGCTAAAAATATGAAGCCTTTTACAGACAGTAACTGTATCAAAGACTGTCTAACTGCAGCAGCTGAAGAAATCTTTTCAGAAAAACTGAATTTCTTTACTCAAATTAGTCTGTCACATCAAACTGTACAAAGAAGAATAGAAAACATCTCGAGTGAGATTTTGTGCATTGCTAAACACAATTACAACAAGCTTCGTATATTTCTCACAGGCTTTGGATGAAAAATGAGATATAAATGATACTGCTCCACTTGCTATTTTTATAAGAGATGTCGATATTCAAATGAATATTACTGAAGAACTCCTCGAACTTGTGAGTTTGAAAGGTACTACCACCGGAGGAGATATTAAGGATGCTGTCATAAATTGTGCATAAAGTCGTCAGATAGATTTGAAAAATCTTGTTGGTGCTGTTACATTAATTTTTGTTCACATAAAAGCCTTGGCAAACAGTTCGAATGATTTTGAAATGTTAAATTTGTGATTGTTTTTTGCACCTAGAGAATCTATGTGCACAAGTGTTAAATATATCTCCTGTGATATAAGTTGTTGTCAAGGTAATTAATTCAATTAATAACAATCCCTTGAAGCATTGTCAATTTCAAGACTATCTTAGGGAACTGGAATCTGAATATGGTGATCTTATTTATTACACCAAAATTTGGTGGTTAAGTCGTGGAAACTGCTTATTGCGATTTTGGAATTTAAGGGAGGAAATTGAAACTTTCATGAGCAATAATAGCCATAATATAAGTGAACTTTCAGATGATCAATGGCTTCTAGATTTATGCTTTCTAACAGATATAACAATGAAACTGAATGAGCTAAACCAGAAGTTACAGGATGAAAATAAGTTGATTACTGATTGTTATCAAGATATAAAAGCTTTTGTAGCAAAGCTTCAACTTTATGAAAATCAATTGCATCCAAACAATTTGATTCATTTCCCATTATTAAATGACTATAAAAGTGACCATAAAAACTTCTTCAAATATTTTACGGAAACTGGAAAATTACTTGAAGAATTCAACACCAGATTCTCCTACATTCAAAAGTTTGAGGAAACGTTTACAATATTTTTAGCTCCATTTAATTGTAGAGGTGGAATCAGCTAATTAGAATATTACAATCAAGAATACAATAGAATAATATATATAGAATACAAGATAGAATTGCAAACAAGCATTAAGCTAAACAGCCTGTGTGAAGAGAATAAGATTGAATATTATACAAAATATATCCTTGAAGATAAATTTCCAAATTTAAAGCGATTGGCTATATGCATTATATCAGCATTTGGAACTACTTATTAGCAAGTCATTTTTTTTTTTCAAATTAAACCTAGTAGAAACAAAGTGTTGCAGCAGGTTGCTCAATGAAAACATGACCAATCAACTATGATGCGCATCAACTAAATTATCCATAGATATTAAAAAAATCTCAAGTAAAATACAAAAACAAGCATCACATTAATTGTAAGATAAAATATTTTGAATGTTGTACAATAATAAAATATTTTGAATAATTTGTTGTTTTGATATGTGCAGCCCACCTCAGTTTAGTAAATTTTTACTTGGTCCACCAACTGATTTGTGTTGGGCACCCCTGATCTATGCACTCAATGAATAATAAGGTAGTACAGTCAAAAGTCATTAATCCGGACTCATCGGGACTTCGACGATTCCGGATTATAGATCATCAGTTTAAATCTGGTAAGATGGCATGCAGAAATTATAAAATTAAAAATATGAAACTGTAATTTATGAAATAAAGAACAATTATGATCTAAAGGGTATCAAAATTTACCAAAAAAAAAAAAAAAAAAAAAAAAAAAGAAGCAGCTTAATATTTATTTGTTTACTTTATTAAACATTTCTTTCAATGTAAGTTGTTTAAGTTGCTTCATTTTATGTGATAATACTTTCTCTCTAATTCTATAAACAGACATAATTTCTTGTTCAGTTACAAAGTTCCCCTGTTCAAGTCCTATAATTGCTGTGTCGAGAATACCGACTAATTTGTCAATCGAAATTTTTTTGTTTTCAATAACCTCTGTGTCACTTTCTTCACTATCGGAAGCGAATTATAATGACGAGGAATTTGATTTAAATCATATCAAAGACGGAGTACATCGAGATGAAATACTACATTTAGTAAGGAATTATAAGCCAAATAAAATAAAAACATCTGCCCTGAAGATAAGGATAGGGCTGACAGATCAACTTCCAATTCATCACGCGCCTGCTGCTGCTTTAAAGATAAACAAAGTTTAGATAAACAAACATTAAAGAATAGATAAACAAAGGATATGCCTTTATCAATTTTTTGCAGCAATTCCACTTTTTGTTTAATGGACTTCGAAACATACTTTCGTTTTGTAGATCCTTTACATATTAGTAAATATATATCAGAAATTCTATTTGACATAATCAAAAGTTCAAGCTTACTTTTATAAAACTGCTCTAACAGTCTGCAAAAAATAATAAGCCGAATCATCCAATTCGAAGATTAAGGAACAATGCAATCTGCAACATTAACTGAATTAGATAATTTTAGCTTAGCTTATACTGTCCGTTATACATTAAACGCGCACACGCATATTCGCAGCCGTAAAGGTCTTACGCGCATGCACAGAAAGTTTGTAGCTTTGAGGTCCGGATTATGGATCATTCCGGATTATGGGTGTCCGAATTAATGACTTTTGACTGTACTGAGTTGATTTAATCATGTCATAATTTTTCATGCAAGATGATAAAATTATATATAAGCTTGTTTTAAATTCTTGAAAATTTATAAGCATCCAAGTGCCCCACCATATGTACTTTATTGTAGACAGGCAACATAGGAATATATTGTCAGACTCTGGCTTTTTTTTTTTTTTTGGTTGCAGACAATCATAGGAATATTTTCATTCTGAATAAGGAAATTTAGGCATTGCAGTGCAATTGCTTCTTGCAGTTATAATTATTTATAATCTTAATACAAAAATTATTTAGTTTAGAAATAGAATGTAGTGTAAAATTTAGTTAATTTATTTCTCCTTTCTATTTAGCATTTTATTAACATTTGTGTTCTATAAATATGTTTGGATTGCATCTGTAAGATATGATGCATTTTAAGCTCAAGTCTATAGATCATCAGATCTAAAAAATTGCACAGGCATTATTATTTCAACATTTACACAACTTTTGAACATTTTTACTATATTTTACTTTTCAGTAATTTATATTTTATTTTAGATAAGTGCCTTCAGTTTTTGACATAATAAACATCATTTACACTAAAATGTACCTGTAAAAGTTTACATTTGGGTGGCCCTTGTTCTTTTTTTTTATTATTATTATTTTTTATTCTTTTTTATGCCAAGATTGGCGAAAAGAAGCCACAATTTCAAGATGACCGCTACACAAAACCAAAATAAGAAGTCAAAGAATGGAACAAATATGGCATCCATGTACACATCAATTTATTTTCACTTAAACAAAAATATATCAAAGAATTGCACAAACTCGGCTCTGCGCACTGCCATGACTTTATCCATATACACATTGATCTATTTTCACTTAAAAAAATCAGGAAGCTAAAACCACATTAAAACTATCATGGTAACAAGAAATAAGGTTTCATCACCAAAACTAAACAAAATTTGACGCCATTGATGGGGCACCCAATTCTACACTAGAGCCAATGTAACTTATTAAAATTAATTTAAAATACTTATATACTTACATTGAAATCTCTGACATCATTCATTAGTTGAACATTTCTTTTAGTTCCAGACAGTCTTAACACCATAATGAAATACTGATTGAAAATAAAACTACAGGTTAAATAAGTTAGTGGCAACTTGTAGTAGAGCAAAATTTACTAATACATTTATAATACATATAATAATAATTAATTAACACAGACTACTAAAACCCAATTCTACAAAATTAAGTTACAGTTTTTCCTTTTTTTGTTTGTTTTTAACTATGTAAATATGTAGTCTAGAATGATCTGAGAGGCCTGCCAATGAGAATAGCTTATTTTTATACAAAGATTTTATTAACACACATACACTGTTGCACTTAGTGCAAACAATTATTTAATAAAATGTTTGTACTTACACATTATCGCAACCAACTTAGTAGAAGTCATCAAATTTTCAGAAAACTCTCTCTCTCCCTCAAACCAAACTCTTAACAACCATGTGCTAACAGCTTTTTAGCTGTTTTTAGCTTGCAATCTGAAAATTCACTAACCATCTTTATTTCTATAAAAAAAAAAAAAAAAAAAAAACATCAAACTGCACTAAAGTCGTTGCACTAATATGTAAGTACCAAAATGTTTATAATTTTGATTTAATTTTGTCAAATTAGATTTTGGTAATCCCTTTCAATTATTATTACAAAAGAATTCTCTTTGTGTATTGCTACCTAGGGCACAAATTTTTAGGGTTAATTTTTTGATTATTCTTTTAAATATATTGATTTTGATAAATATGATACATAGCTGTGTATTGAGGGTGCAATTAATATATGCAGAAAAAATCCTGTACTTTAATTTCTGAAATCTAAGACTACAGCTTCAGTTATTTTCAAATTTTCAAAATCACTTATAATATTTTTGCTTTTTCAACTTTTAGTTCTTTAGAGAGAGAAATGTTAAAGCAATAAGCTATAATAATGACCTACTTGATCCAATCACAATTATAATAAAATAGTTCAATCAAATCGATTTCAGCAATGCCAGACACAAAATAAATTATGTTTTAATTATTTTCGCTATCTTTCTTCATAATTTTTTTTACATATCTATCTATCTACATATAAATCTACTAATGCAATCAACTGCAGATATTTTTTAACTCTTTTACCATAGAGATATTCTTTATTAAAATTCAGCACATAGTATTTAGAGTGGTTATTACAGATATTAAGATTAAAGGAAAATTGTTAAGCTAATGTAATCAGCAGCACATAAAGAAGAGTTTGTAGAACTCTTAGAATAAACGTTTTACAAACTGTAACGTTTTACAAACATAGATGACAAAATATATGCAACAGACACATATAGATGCACATGATAAAATCAAGCAAATAAAACCTTAGACTAGACACAATTTACTTCAGTTCAATATTCTTTTTTTCCTGTCTAATTTTATGTACATGATAAAAGTTAATAAATTACGCTAATAAGCTATAACGCAGTTTTCTATCATTTAATTTTTACTTATTTTCTGTCAGAACTTTCCTGCCAAATTTAATCTGCCTTAAGTCCCCATGTGTAACATGTATACAAGCCAGTTTCCCTTAGAAAGTCCTCCACGAAGGCATCCCTTACCTTAGGCAGGTAGCCCTAGTGTGCTTTGCCATAATTTGGAACTAGAGAATAAAAGGAAATAAATCTGTTGATCAACTTTTATTTTCCCAATGCTATTCATTCACAGAAAAATAATATACCTACATGTCTTAGGAATTCAACTAAGAGAAATTTTTTTCAATTGAAAAAATAAACATAAATTTACATCAATTCAAAGTGACAGGAAACGAAATCAAAATACTGAAAGTAGTTTATAAACTTACAGAAAATTTTACATTTGTGTTCAGGTTTGGTTTGGTTTATTTAATTATGGCAAAGCACACTAGGGCTACCTGCCTAGTGTGCATTATTTGCCATAATTAAATAAACCAAACCAAACCTTCGTGGAGGACTTTCTAAGGGAAACTGGCTTGTATACATGTTACACATGGGAAAAAACACGAAAACACCCATGCAGCCAGCTCATTTGCGGGATTCGAATCTCGAACCGAACTACCAGCGTTCAGCGACCGCTCGGCCGCTGGTGGGCCTCATCTGTATTCAGAGTTAAAAAATTTGTCAGAGCTTAGCAGCAAGTTTCATACTAATTTAAATCTGAATATAATAATGAAATAATTCATTTCAAAATAGAAAGTTGTTCATTTAATAACAGAATTATTTGAAACATTTTACACGGTAAAAATTTCAATAAAATTTGGCTTGTATAAATATTTCACCTTCAAATTTGTGTTAACTCAAAGCAGTAACAAATTTCGGTGGAAGGCAAGAGAAGGATTAAATAGAAAGGTGAGGAGGAAAAACTATGAAGGTGAGGAGGAGAAAGAACACAGTTTTCCGTTTAAAGTTCTATATATAGTTAAGTTTAAAGTTCTATAATCTCCATATAGAAAATTAATTAAATTTTACAATATTTGCTGATAACTATGTTAATATAAATTTCTATTTACATTATGCAATTATTGTTTAACACTTTAAATGCTCTACATACACATATAATAGAAACCAGAATAAACTAAAATATACCTCTATTCCAAGTAACAATTTTAAAGCCAAGGACCAGTCAATCATACCCACACATATATATAAATTTAAAGCTATAAGTGGATTTTCCCTGAATTCTTCATCTGTAAAAAATTTATATTCTTTTATACGTTTCATCCTTTGGAAACACAGTCGGCGAGCTTCTTGTCGACTGAGTTCTGCTGAAGGCAGTCTGTGAAATAATGGATCTGCTTCTAAAGTCTTCCATACTCTGGTCTAATAATTAAAAAAATATAGACATGAGGCCATTAATTTCAATTGCAGATCACATAAAAATAGATATCGTAAAAGATATTCCTATTAAATTCTATGACAATAAGAACTCAATTATATATTATAACAGAAACAACTGTACGCACTATAGAACAAAACAGTAATCTGAATAAGAATACAAATCTAATGAATGAAAAATTTGGTACATAACTATGGAAAAGACCATTAGATGAAAATATATATAAAACATTAATAATAACCCCCCTCCAAAAAAAATATACAGCTGGGGAAAATATCAAGCATTTCATAATACCTGAAATTCAATCATATCTCTACCAATAAATACTAGTCTCATCTGTTTCCAGTTAAAAGATGCTTTTTTTCTATAAACATCTAATGGACTAGGTGGAAAATCATAAATCTTCATATATTCTGTGTCTTTTGTTTCAGTATTCATGCTGAAATTTGAAAAATTCCTTTAGAATCAAAATAATACACTTTATAACATAATTTACATATATATACATATTAATATATATTTACATAATAATAACATATATTTACATATATATACATATTAAGATAAAATTTCCAAACAAATGAAAATTCTGTCATTAATCTTATTTGACAGAAATTTACAAGCGGAATAACTCATTTTGATACTGAAACATAAAACTTAACAAATTTCAACTTTATCAGAATTTCATGTCATTAATTTAGCTTTATCATTTGATAGACATTCATTCAAAGCTTTTATATTATATCATATTCTATAGTCTCAGTGTTTATTTATTAATTTTTTTCCAATAATCATAAAAATATAAAAATATATTCTATACAGGCAAGAAATTTGAATTTTTATTTTTGTCTTATTTTAAAGAGCACTACACGAAAATATGAACAGAGCATAATGTTAACAGGACTTTGCAGTATTTATATGTAGTTATATTTTTACTAACAAAATAATGAATTCCTTGAACTCTTGAATGCTATTTGGTACAAATCAAGTAATATTCCCCAAAATGGCTTGACTCAGCCAATGTAGTAAACATATTCCCATAATCATACTCGTATATATTTTTAATTATCAGATTAAAAGTTTTCATAGAAAATTTAATTAACATTACAAGTGACAAAACATAGGCCTTAAAAAAACTAGTCTCAGCTGCAAAGCAATACTTCTTTCAGCAGTTAATGAGAAAAATTTTAAATACAATCAGTAAAACTGTAAGAAATTAAAACAAATAATCTGAAATAATATGTGTATCCATCAGAAAGTTTTTACTTGATTAGATATGCAAAACACATATTTAATATATAATATTAATGTATAAGTGATGCATAGTTAGTGATTTAAATATAAAAAAAAATAATAATAATCAACCACATGCTCAACTTTTTTTTTTTTTTTTTTTTTTTTGTGGCATTCAGTGGAAATTATTTAAATTGAACTTGTCTTAAAAAGCAAGTGTTACTCTGTTGGTCAGTTTACCGGCATCCTATCTTCGTGTTTGAAGGGATGGAAAAAAATCAACAAAAACTTAAAAATTACTTGATATGGCAAGATTCTTTACAGGAAGAAGAATGCAAAATATATCAAATTTAGTCAAAGCTGAAAACCGGAAATTATCCTGATCCCGTTGTAAGATTTCGGGAACTAAACACTTCCCCGTTCCGCGGGCGCAAGCGACTTTGTGGAAAACGAAAAACGAGGTTACCACGTTTAACCATTCATGACACTAGAAGAGCAGCTAACGCCCATCGGTGGATACGCGTTATTAGCCAATGGAAATAGCGAACTATGATAACGACGCCCAAATTTTTGGCGCTAATAAGGGTACATTTTGTTCATTCAATTATTTAATTAGCAATTAAGTATTTGAGTTTGTAGTTTTCTAACTTTTATATGGAAAGCGACTGGTTAATTTTTAGTAGGTATTCATGACGCTAGCTGGTATGAATCCAAAAAAAGAAGAATTTGTTGATATTTTGTTTTCTCCCGGTTTTTTAAGTAATTATTATTTGGTCCGCCATTTGGCACTACACGGAAAGGGAGGGATGCTCCATGGAGGACTTTTTAAGGAAAAATGGGTCTTATCCACATTACACATGAGGAAAACGTCCATTCAACTAGCCCTTTTCCCGAGACTCGAACACCGAACCGAACTAACAGTATTCAGAGGCTTTTTACAGTTCGGCCGCTGGCGGGCCTTTTTTCCAGTGTTTGAACGTTGTTTTCTCGAAAAACAGTTAATCACGTTATGAATGGTTAATGTATCAGCCGCGTTTTCTGTGTTCCACTAAGTTGTAATCACAGCCATTTTTTCCTCTTTTACTAAATTTTATTTACTTCCCATTCTTATTCAAGTAACGAAACCGTTTTTATCGAGTAATTTTTCATCTTGTCACTTATGTTTGATGGTGCCTCATTTTTTTAATAATACTTAGGATATTGTTGTTTGGACTAATCTTTTATACTTTGTTTTTGAAGTTATACTACCGCATAAATGAGGGTAGTGTAGCATTTGCATTCTAACTCGAATAAGTAGGGGAAAATAAATGCAAAATAATTAAAAGGGTGTTAGAAGAAGTAGGTGCTTTCATTTAAATGGAAGTGAATCCAGATATGTAAAAATTTTAATACATTCATCTTTTACTGCAGGACTACAGTAAATTTCAAATAATAACGTGAATAGTATTATGATCAGTACATAAATGACATAGTATTGCTATTATTTATGTGAATATTTTTTGTTATATATACATATTAAATTTATGTGCAATGCATTATTGCGCATTTGGCTTACTAAATTAATTTATTGAACTCGTTTTTATGGTCTTCTTTAATCACTCATGGTAAAGCATGCAAGGATGCCTTTGTAGAAGCCTTTCTTAGGGGAAAAAAAACAAAAACAACATGGGCGTGGAATATTGTAATCACCAGAGTACTCGAGCAACTTCTATCAAAATTCATTTTATAACTTATAATTATTCGCTGGTCCGAATGATTTAGACAAAAAATCCTAAATTTCAAAGTTCAGTTTTCACTAGGATGGTAAGAGTTCAGATATTCAAGAGATCCGCGTAGGTTCATTTATTTATTATAAAAACCCACACGTAAGGGGAGCTCTTGAAGAAGGAACAACATGACTCAGAAGGAATGAGAACACAAAGTAAATGGGATCAAAATAAAATATAAACATCCAATAGTTACATAAGTCACATGACATCTGCATTATGTTATTAAGAATTGGCTATAGGTCTCGAGATTTTGGGGAAAGATGTAGTTATAGTTACATACTGGAATAATGCTGTTGTTGTTTTTGCTGAGACTTAAATGCAAACTGCGCGCCATAAAATTATACTTGGTACGCAGCTGGGAAGTTCCCAGGCTCACGAATTTCATTATGTCTGACGTATCATGGGCATCCAAATATTTGTCTCAGGACACAGTTTTAAACTGTTTGTAATTGTTTGCGACTAATATGGCAAGGATGGACGCGCCCAAACTGCCCGAATAGGATACATGAGGTTTTGTATATGAGTACCTTGTTATGAATAGATAAAATGCTTTTTCAGGCAATTAAGGGATAGATTTCGTTTTATGTGCCCGGAACTTCTTAAAGAACTTCTTAAAACAGTATATGTGCAGGAATCATGAAAGATAACGGTCGAGTATCATCCCATGATAAGTGACTCGTCTGCCCGAGGGCAATGTGGTTTCATGCATGCTAAGATTGCCAGTGATTTTCACTTTCTTGGAAAAAATAATTGCTGTGGATTTGACCACAATGATTTCAGTTTTCCAACTCACAAGCCAGTTTTCTGATGCATGGATGTGATTTTGTAGTACTTGTAATGCTGGATAAGATTAGCATTTTGTAAAACTATCGCACTATCATTAGCATAAAGTATCAGTGGTGTTGGGTGTTTGTGGGATGTCGTTCACATGTAAGTTGAATAGATAGGCCCCATTAGGGAACTTAGAGGCTATAATAGAACGGCAGAACGATTATGTATTTGAAAGACGAATGAAAACGTTTAGTAGGGTAAGCAGGACTTAATGGTCGGTCAGAAAAGTCTTATTGAAGTTTGTGATGTCGTCTGGAAATTCCAGGGTGAGCAGTTTGTAAATCAGGCCATCCAGCCAAACCCTGTCAAAACGATTCTGCTATATCCAAGAAAAGTTCAACAGTGAACTACTTCTTTATCAATATTTTCTGTAGCGCCTCAGAAATCAGTTTGACCGCACCCTGGTTGAGCATTCACCACATCTTGAGCTGGTTAGTAGTTGAGAAGCTTTGACGAAAGCCAAACTGCTGTAGAATTATGATTCTGTTGGTGTCAATGAAGGCGCTGGGTCTTGTCAATATTTCCACTTCGGAATAATAGAAAATAACAGACTGATTGGACGGCAGCTTGTTAGCAAAGTAGAAGGTTTATTTGGTTAATTAAGGACAAGATGACTACGTTTTCCAGGATGACGGCAACTCAGAATGATATTGATTATTTTTGTCAGAAGAAAGACCGTTTTCAGTGGGAAGTTTTTTACCATTTTATTCGCGACTTTTTCAAGACCAGCGCTCTTTTTTTTTTTTTTTTTTCTTCTTCTTCTTCTTCTTTTTTCTGATACAGCCGTAGACTTTCTAGATATAACACAAGAAAATATGGGACTGGTGTTGTTTGCTTGTGGATTGGTTGTGAATTAGTGTGGTGTATCTCAAACATCAAGATGTGCTTGGTTACGTTAAATGTTATTTGTGCATAACTGAAAGATTCCAGAAGCGTAGCTAAAATTTCTACTTTCTCAATTTCAGTGTAGTGGATCTTGGTAGGGCCTTTAAGGATGGGATGGCTCTGCAGCTTTTCTTGTCAGATAGAACTTTCATCATCAGTGAGGGAATTAATATAATTCGTCTACGTGAGTTGTGCATGTTTATTCGTAAGAGATATGAAAGAATCATGTGGAGTATTGAGGACTTGTTTATGAGATGAATTTCTTGTTCTTTGCGACTTTAGGCCACACAACCACTGTAAAAATTTTATGCTTATATATTGTGTAATTTGTATAGTTTTTATAATGTGGTCGCTTAATGGATTTATATGTGTAGTCGAATGTTGAAGAACTTGCAACTCTGAGTAAACTAAAGTTGGAATGGAGATAGTTTAAGAAATGGCAAAGGGCTATCGATGCTTACCGCATTTCAGCACAAAATTTATCACTAAGATTAACATATCTGGTGATTTGTCACCAGATTGAAAACGATTTCCAGAAAACATATTTTTGAGGCGCTAGGACCAACCGTTTCAGAAAATCAATTCTGTAGTCTGTGATTTAAATATGAGGCTGCTAGAACCACTTGTCCAGACTTAAATATGTTCTATATTGGTGTATTGTTGAATTTATTTCTTAACGATTTTAAGCTTTCAAGCTTAAGCGATTTTCTGATTAGCGACTTTTACCTTATACTAACGGGCAAGCCGTCCAGACGAGCAGGCTGCGATCAAAGCAAAATTTGTAAATTCTATGTACACCTGAAAAGAAAATGTATAAAAACATTTTGACATGTATGAAATCAGTTCATTCTTTCCCATCAACAACCAATGCGTAATTAATTTTCTCGTTGGTAAACCAGGAAACAAAAACTTTTGACACTTCAGGTATGCGTATCACGTCATGATTTAAATTTAATGTAATATAAGAAATTTTCTCAATATCAATAAAAGAATTAACTTGGCAATAATATGTTCTGACATACATGATGTCATTTCTTCTTATCTCTCTAACAATAACATATAAAACATTATCATGTGCAAAGCAACTTCCTCAAACTTATTCAGGTTGTTCTTAGAAGCCGTTTCTCAAACTGTCTTTCGGATGGAATTAAGAATTTTGTATATTAGTATTAAACAATGTTATAATAATAGCAATGGCTTTTTTTAAAATAATTTTCCATGCATTTCTTATTGGAAAAGTTCGTTTGGTATATGTCTAAGCAATCTGGAACTGACTGATGACATACACCGAGGTACCATTGTATTTCAGTGTATTTAATTCAACTGCAGTATTAAAATTTATTTAATGATGCATAGTACAAATTATTTACGAAAAGTACCTGTCTGTTCTTCACATTTTATCCCGAATGACAAAAATAGTCATAGCCTTTTTCATTAACAGTAATTAAATTTGTCTACTTCAATAATCACTTAAATATATTAACCAATAAGTTAGCTTCATAGAACTTTAATATATGTATTTACAAATTTAAGAAATAAATATGTGAATGATTGCATTAAAAACTTGTTAATTAATTGCAATATAAAGAAATTGCTAGTTAGTTCACGTAATTTACAAATAATTCATAATCTAATAGAATGCTTTTTCCTTTTCCTCCACGCACTTAGAAACCAAAACTAAATTCACATAAATTTACCCATAAAGGTCAGTTTGCTATAATTTTTAACCAATATTCATCATATACATATATCACCAATACATCAATAGAAACCAGTAAATCAAATAAAAAGTGAAATGTTCTATTCAATTCAATTTTTAAACGCTTTTTTTTCCACTTTTAGGCTGAGATTACAAATTAATTTTCTTTCCTTCTTCCTTCATGAGACCTTTCATTACCTGTAAAGGAAAAAAAAACTATTATTTCAGTTTCCTATGATTTCGTTCATCATTATCTTTCATTAAGTTTCAGTAATGTTTGGATTTGTTATTT